AGTCCTCGGCGCCGTCCTCCCGGAAGAGGCGCGCCACCACCTCAGGCTCCGGTTCATCGGAGTCCTCTGACTCCGACGGAACCGGGGGAGTCCAACTTCACCACAGTCACCTCCAAGCGCAACGGAAAGCGCGCCGCGATAAAACAGACCCCCCCCACTTCAGCGGCCCCTGCCGCTCCTTCAACCTCCGCAGCCCTCGACGCTGCCCCCGTCCCACTGATGTCACTAGACATCCCCACACCATCCAAACCAGCCTCTCGTTGTGCTCCAGTACTAGCGAAGAAGCAAGTCCCGCCCCCTGTCTTCCTAAGAGACAAGGCAAAATTAACCCAACTATCCAAATCCTGCTACGACGCAGGTATCAAGTATGATCATGCCATCAACCTCGGGGAGGCGATCAAAATCATCCCTGCCTCGATCGAGGACTTCCGTCAGATCACCCGGCTATTCACAGCCGAAAGGGTCTCATACCACACGTACGCTCTCCCTGAAGAGCGTAAAGTTAGGGCCGTCATCAGAGGCGTCCCATTCGAATTCTCGAACGAGGAAATCCTCGAGGACCTTAAGTCCCAAGGCTTCCCCCGTAGAAGCAGTGCACAAAATGCACAATAGAACGGGCAAGAGATACAACCTTGCCCTAGTAATCCTGTCAAACGTGCCGGAGGCTAAAGCCATCTTCCGGCAGGTGCGCACAGTGTGCGGCCTGTCAAGGGTGAAGGTAGAGCCCCCCACATAGGCCCGGCTTCCCGGCGCAGTGCCACCGCTGCCAACTTTATGGTCACGCGGCGGCCAACTGCTCCGCCCCACCCAGGTGCGTGAAGTGCCTGGAACCTCACAACACAAAAGAGTGTCCCCGGCCCAAAGACGCCGAATCCCCGCCCGCCTGTGTCCTGTGCAACCAGACAGGACACCCGGCGAACTACAAGGGTTGCCCACGCGCACCTCAACCTCGCCCCAGTAGGAAAGCTCCACCGCCGGTGAATGACCGATCTTTTCCGGCCCTCCAACAACGGCCCCGTCAGGGCCCTTCTCAGCCTATCCAGGGCTTCCCTCGACCCTCTCAGGGTCCCCATAGGCCCCCTCAGGGTCCCCCTAGGCCCCCTCAGGGCATAATTCGGCCCCCTCCGGGCTTCTCCAAGCCAATGCAGCCTCCAGTCTTTCCCTGGGGGCCCAAAAAGGCAGACCCACCGCGGACAACCTCGTACGCTCATGAAGCAGAGCCCACAATCGACGACTACAACACGCTATATTCCGCTATTAGGAATATCGACGTTAGGGAAATAACAGTTGTATCACGCAAACTGCGCGCGGCCAAGTCCCCCCAAGAACGTCTCCTCGTTCTTGCGGAGCACAATAACCTTTTGTTAGCGTTGTAAGTTAGGTTAACTTAATTAACTTAACTTCAATGACTGAGAGAATTAACCTACCTAGATCTCACGGTCGTATCAAACCTAAGGGTTTATCGCTTATATCATTTAATATTCGCGGCTTGCGAAATAACCTCCCAGAGCTCAAGCTCTTTCTTCGGAATCGTGAAGTCGATTTCCTCCTCCTACAGGAAACTAATCTCAAAGCTAAGGACACTAGAGGCCTTTCTATTAAAAACTTCTCTCTTCTTCGTAACGACAGACCCGACCGCCGAGGCGGCGGAACGGCCATCTATTACAAGAAGACACTTCATTGCTCGCCCATTTCTACTCCGCAGCTTACCAACATGGAAGCCACGGTATGCAGGCTAGCTATGACTGGACATCAGTCCATCCTCATAGCCTCCTGTTACATCCCTTCAGGAACCTATCCCCTCAAAAAGGATTTTGAGGCCATTTTATCTTTAGGCAATTCAGTCATTATGTTTGGAGATTTTAACTCCAAGCATACTGAATGGACATGCCGCACTACGTCCCCTAGTGGCAAGATACTGCTCGATATCACGCAGTCTCTTGATATTACCGTCCATAGTCCTCTCGGTGTTACTCACTTCCCCGATAACACCGATCACGCCCCCCGATGTGTTAGATTTTGCGTTACTCCAAGGAGTTTCTCTCAACCTCGGAGCAATCGAGACACTAGACGATCTAGGATCAGATCACCGACCGGTCTCCCTCATTCTTGGCCATCAGCCACCTCCCCCAACACACACGAAAACCTTCACTAACTGGAAGGGATTCAAAGAGTCCCTAGCTAAAGCTCTGGACTCACAGGACTCTACCATCTCCCTATCGTCGGACTTAGATAGTCCCGAAAAAATCGACACCGCGGTCGACTCACTCTCCACCCTTATTAAATCCTCCCTTAAGGAGAACGAAAGGGTCGTCCCGGTTGCTAACAATAGTGGGCTTCCCCTACATATTAGCAACCTAATAAAAGCCAAAAAAGCTGCTTTCCGGAGAGCAGCAAAATATCCCACCCCCGAATATAGGCGCGCGGCCAATCGTCTTCAACGAAAACTCCGCTTCCGCCTCTCTGAATTTCAAGATCTCGAAAAGAGTAAGCTCATGGAGAATATCTCTCCATCTCACACAGCGTACTATCAGATGGCTAGAGCCCTCCGCATAGACGCTATCACCCACACTCCCCCTCTCTCCCGTCCCGACGGCACAGTTGCCTTCGAGGACGAGGAAAAGGCTGAGTGCTTTGCAGATAGCATTGCCGCTCAATGCTCTCCCAGTTCTCAACCCGTCGACCCCTCACACGTCCAGGCAGTGGAGGATGAGGTCCGCCGCCGGAGCTCACCCCCCACGGCCTCTGAACCTATCTCTGTGTCCAATGACGAGATCTCATCCCTCATCAAAGGACTTAAGCCTAAAAAAGGCTCCGGGCGCGGATGGCATCTCCAACCAAGCCCTAAAACACTTTCCCGAGCAGGTGTTAACCTTTTTATCTATTATCTTCAACGCCTGCTTCAACCTTAGTTATTTTCCCACTACGTGGAAAGAGGCTACTGTGATTGGAATTCCCAAGCCAGGCAAGCCTCTCAACCTCCCCCTCCAGCCATCGCCCCATTAGCCTCCTCAAGGCAATGGGCAAGCTCTTCGAAAGAGTCATCCAAAGTCGTATGAGGCGCTACCTGTTTCCCACAGACGGCGACCCTCTTATCATTCCCCATCAATTCGGCTTCCGAGCCAAACACTCATGTCCCCAACAAGTTCACCGCATTGTGGAATATATCCTCAGCGGTTTCTATCCTCGTCGTCATAAGACCATCGCGGTCTTTTTCGATATAGCCAAAGCTTTCGATAGAGTCTGGCACACAGGCCTTATCTACAAGCTCTATAAAATAGGTCTCCCCGATCGTCTAGTTCGTCTCGTGGCCTCCTATTTAAAACATCGTACCTTTCGTTTCAGACACGAAGGCACGCTCTCTTCACAGCGAACTATCAAGGCTGGTGTCCCTCAGGGCTCAGTACTTGCTCCTCTGCTGTACATCATATTCACCAACTACATTCCCATCCCGTCGAAAGGTGTTCAACTCTCCCTCTTTGCAGACGACACTGCCATCTACTGCAAAGGTGTCTCACTACCCTTCATATGGAACAAGATCCAAAAGTCAGTTGATGACCTAGGAGCCTGGTTCAAAAAATGGCGCATCGATGTGAACCCGGAGAAGAGCTCCGCCGTTCACTTCGATTATAAACGACGCCGTCTCAAAAACACTCCACCAATACGTATGCTAGGGACCCCTGTCCCCTGGCATACGTCCGCCAAATATTTAGGTGTCACTCTAGACACAGGGCTCACTTTCAAGCCCCACGTCAAAAGAGTAACCCGTCACGCACGTTTTTATCTGAGTAGGCTCAACAGTATGTTGGGCCGACACAGTAAAATGTCCCTTCGAAACAAGCGTACACTCTACAAGGTATGTATACGACCAGTCATGTCCTACGCGGGCCCCGTCTTTGCCCACGCAAACCCTAACATTTTAAATGAACTCCAAATAGTTCAGAACCTATTCTGTCGTCGAGCTGCGAACGCACCGTGGTACGCCCGCAATGCCGACCTTCATCGGGACTTAGAGCTCCCAACAATTCAACAATTTCTTAAAAAACTCTCTGAGAACTTCTTCAAAGCCTCAGAGTCGCACCCAAACCACTTAATTCGTGAGGCAGCTTCTTATGCAGCCCCACCCCCCTCTCGCTATCGTGTCCGCAGGCCGAGAAACTCTCTCTCGGACCCGCCTAATAAACTTTCAAACGACCTGAACTGTCTCCTGGCAGCTCAGGCCAACTCTAATTAAATAAAATTATTGTAATATCTGACATTAATTTGCCTTCGTAGGCACTCCCTCAGCGGCACTTAGCCGCCTGCGCCCTCTTTTCCCAAAAGAGGGTCGCTCATGATAAGGCACAATAGAGCTTAATCAGCCGGTTGCCTGTCCCTAAAGGCGGTTTTTAGGGGGTATCACTTAGGGTCCCCGGTAGGACAGTGAGTCCCCCCATAACCACGATAGACCGGCTATCGTGGTATGCGTAATGCATTTTCCGCCTCCCTACGTACAGGGTAGCCCTTTAATTGCTTCGGGCGCAAAAAAAAAAGCGCTAGTACTTCTTAAATTGGGTTGTGAAGAAGACAGAAGACGTTCCTTTATGTGCATTCCAAAAATATTGTCTTTTATTAAAAAAAAATATTATATATATATATATATATATATCTTTGGTCCATTCCTAATCTTTGATAAGAACACTGTTTAATCTTTGTAAAAATTGACGTTCCAATCCAAGATGGCAGACATGCCGCTTGAGTTAAAGTAGTATGGAATCGTAGGAGTATAAGTTTTAGGTGTGTCTTTATAAATTTCGAACTATAATGTCTTCCGAAATTTTGACTAAAGTCTCATTCGAGTATTTCGACTATGTGAAGCAACGCTCACGCGTTCTGTGTGTTAGGTTTAGGTAACGTTAGTGTGGAAACATATGTATTAAGGTGGACAAATTTTTGTGTTGTTCGGTGTATCGTGTACGATAAGTATTCTGGTTTAATGTTAAATTAAAATGTGGAATATGATGTGCGACGTGATGCCCACGATATCTGAAGACAGTATCAGCCAGCGGAGCTCGCAGTTCTCTGGAGAGGATGCGAATTTTGAGCAACTTATGGTATCTATGTTGGATGAGCGGGATAAGCTGGTGGAGAGCTTACGAGAGACCCAGGAGCGTCTGAATGACTCAGAGCTGCGACTCAAAGACGTGGAGAAGGAGCGAGACTCATTGCAGAGACAGATTGCTGCCAACTTACCTCAGGTCAGTGTCATTATCAAAATGGTGTGATACTCCTATAATGTTTTATAGAATACTAGACACCGCTTGTTTGTGCTTAAAATGTTATTACCTAGGAAAATGTGTCACTGATACCTATTTAAACAGGTAAGGCTACTTTTGCTAAACACATGCTATGAATAATAACTTTTCTAATTTTTGATAGGAGGTTAATAATGATTATGTGAATGAATAGGAAATAACATGATGCGAGTGCAGATCAGTTATTTGTAGAAGTACTAGTTTAAATTAGGACATACATCTTTACCTGTACTTTTGGCCAAACTTAAGATTCAAGATAGGTCAATTAGTGATTGTGAACTATAAAAATGTATTATGACTTTAATATAGTTTTAAGTGTCTTAAACTTGTATTATAGCTACATATAATTTTTCTCCTTTAAACGTCTCTCTAGTGGACTATTAAAGTAGGAGTTTGGTGCACATTTTTTGACTTATAAAATGTTATTTCATATACTTATGTATTGGATTAGTAAGCTGAAGTATATCTCAAAGAACCTACAATAGATGGAGAACGATGGATTTAGAGTGACAGCTAAGTAGACAAGGCGTATAATGTATTAAGACTGTAAAGTAGATTAAAGAAAATGTCACATTTTCAATTAACATCTAGAGGATAGTAATTGTTTACACAACTATTATATTAACCGCTGCTTATTATTATATAAAATAATGTGTCTTATTTATAAATAGCACTGCCATAGAGCTGTGAAAGTCCAGGCGCTTAGTACTTTCTGTAAGTTAAGTTTACATAACATATGCAATCAATCACAAGTAAAAGTGTTGATTGCAATCATGAGTGCTGTTTTGCCATGTTATTGGCAGTGAACATTGTGAGGGAACCTACCTCTGTGAGTGATAACAGTATTTCAAAAATATCAGAATCACCCTACATACACACTCGAACAGCATGGCAGTCAGACTGCTTCAGACTAAATTTTGGCTGAATTTTTTTTTATTCCTTATAGTATATTAAAATTTGACTGCTGGACATAGTCTTCCCTATCCATCATCATAGGCAGATTTCTCCAAAACGGACACACACACTTTACACAACACTGCTATTTTACTTTACTTTTATACATAAAATGCATCTGGCTTTTAGTGCTTTTAGCTTAGTGCAATTTGTGTGCTAATCTTCAGTGCAGTTTATGTGCTAAGTGATTACTTAGGTCAAGGGAAGTTTTTTTGTAGGCAGTGCTCAACTACTGGAACCATTGCCAAGAAAAATCTATTTAAATAATTGCTAAGAAGCAACTTTATTTCGTTAAAAGTTAAAATAATTGTGCTTTGTTAACTTTACTTTGGTACTTCAGAAATAATTGAGTTTAATTACAACAAATTTATGTGTTGCTCTCAACTTGTACCTGATGTTTAACTTTATTTTAATAAGCTTATTCTTTTTTTATTATCTTTATTCTTTGGTAGTCAAGTTAAAGGAAAGATCAGATTGTCCTATATACCTACTGTGAATTATTTTGTTACTAGCTGGTACCCGGTGCGTTGCAGTCACAGAAGAAATAATAGTGGAAATATTGTTTTGAATTTGGGAGAGTTGAATTGGGAATGATAATGTCGGTATGATATGTGCACCTCCTACTGTAAGTTAAATGTACTATGCCTCTAACCTTTGTGCAAGTGCAAGCAATAAGTTGACAAAGTGTTACAGAAATCTAATGTATGGTATGGCTGAGCATAAAATACCAACTCTGTATAGTTTATTTCTCTTTAGTGGAAATTAAACAATATTTTGATTTTTTTAAGAAAGAGCTGTCATAGAAAATAGGTGTAACAAACTTGTTTAAAAATATTATCTTACCATTTTAATAATGTATATATTCATTTAAATACAGCTTAGTGCATATAAATGATATGAGAAATAACAAATTATGAGCATAATTTCATGCAATATTTGATTTATTTTTTTATATATAAAATTAGAAATTATGCCAAAATGTAATCCAATATCTCCCATATATATAATGTATTAAAATATCTCCCAACTAAAATAATATATATTTCTATTAACAACTTTAGTAATGTGATGTACTGATCAGATAATATAATTTTCTTTGTAGTTTTTATGATTTCACATACTTAGTATAGGTACTTCTATATAAAAAATCTGATAAAGCAACAAAATTTTTTAACTAGTAGATTAATGCATCAAGGCCCACATTTTGTTAACCTTTTATGTGCAGGTTACATAATAAAGTGTAAAAAAACTATACATGTTATAAATTTAATTTATTTGGTGTCTGTCTGAATTTATGTTTGTAATAATTTCAGTGACTACTGTGGGGATTTTCCGAAGGGGAAATTTTTTTGTATTATTTAAATGTGTAGTGTTCGTACAACTTGTATTATTTAAATAGGAAAATTTTGTATAACCAGCTGACTCATGAGAAAGCTTTAGGTGTATAATTTGTGAATATTTTTGAGCCGTGGTAGCTCGATGGTTAGCTCTCTCTGTAAATATAACAGAACGCGAGGTAACAAAAAAAGCCGGGTTCAATCCCCGCACCCGGCACCAATGAAATTGTTAATTGCAATTTTAAGTGCTGCTTTACCACATGCTCGGTGGTGAAGGAAAACATCGTAAAGAAACCTGCATGTCTGAAGAATAAGAAAAAAAATATTTCAAAGACGTGAAGTTTGCCAACATGCATTGGGGCAGCGCGGCGCACTTTACCTGGCCCTAAAACCCTCTCAGAAATGAGGTGAGGCCTGTGCCCAACAGTGGGATGTATATAGGCTGTAACTTTACTTTACTTTTTTTGCAATAAAGCACATATTGTGATGATAAGATGTTAATTAATTCAGAAATAATTGTGCCTCATATATAATGATATTTTTTTACAGAATATGGGTGACAAATGTGGACACAGTCCACCTGATGGTAAGTGGGTGTTGTGGCCCACAGACATCTAGATCTATCTTCAATTAGGAATGAAAATGCAGAAAAGGTTTTCTGATTCTTTACATTTATCACACTAAACACAGCAGTATTTCAATCAATTAAGTATAACAGTGATTTTATGCATTTTGTGGTGCAGTTGTTTGGAAATTTGAATGTTGAAGAATGCGGATTAAAATGGGTGAGTTAACTGTCAAATGCCTTTTTTACGCCAAGTTGCAAATGATGGCTACATTAATGAACAGATCATTAAAAGAAAGGGGTATGAAAGTGAATGCAGGTAAGACGAAAGTTATGGTTATTGAAAGAGAAGAAAGTAAAACGATATGTGAAATAAGAACAGAAGGGGATTTGATTGAGCAAGTAGATGAGTTTGTATATTTGGGTTGCGTATTTAGCAGGGATGGGAGATATGATAAGGACGACAACGACAAGTGAACACAGGAAATAGAGTAAATGGGGCCCTACATCTCTATTGTGAAGTCAGAATGTGTCAAAAAAGGCAGATATGGCAATTCACAATGCTGTGTTGGTCCCTACTTTAACATATGGTAGTGAAAGTTAGGTGTGGCAGAAGAAGCACGAGAGTAGAATAAATGCAGTAGAAATGCGGTCGTTAAGGAGTATGTTAGGGCTGAATATGAATGACAGGGTGAGAAATTGTGTGATAATAGAAGAGTGTGGTTTGCAAGATGATGTTGTGACCAGGATTAAGAAAGAAATGCTTCAGTGGTTTAGTCATGTGGAAAGAATGAATGAGGAAAGAGTGACAAAGAAAATTTATGTTGCAGAAGTGAATGGCAGAGTCGGAAAGGGACGTCCTAGGCGAAAATTTATCGACCAAATTGGCGATTTATTGGAAAAGGGACAATTAGAAGTACCTTTAACCGACAAGCATGTATGCGTAGGTGTATGGATGTGAAGAAGGCGAGAGGGATGTGTCAGGATCATGCCAAATGGAAGTCTGTAGTCTCTGACTACCCTCTGGGTAACAGGTGTGAGTGTTTATGTTCATTTCATGCATTTTATCTAGATTTAAACAATTTTTATTGTAAACCTCTTGGTCTAATAGTTTTTTTTTAAAGTGTTTTTAGTATGCAAAAAATCATCAAGTATGCCCACAGGGTCGCTAAGATGATTATTGTGAACTGGATGTTCATTACTGGTGGATAACCGAGTATCAAGATTTTAACATCAGTAAGATAGAGACCTTGGACTTTATCTTTTTTCTAAGTGATACTCATGTGGAGTCGGCACAAATTGCTATTTAATAAAAAAATTTAGGTATTGTGACAAAACAAAGGAGTCATTTTTGGTTACTGGTGACTACAACATATAAGCCACATAAACGAAACGAGGGTGTCACAACAACAATCAGAGAAGCTCCAGAACAAGAATTTTTGGCACTTCTTAGTGTCCTATCACCAGGTTAGGTTAGAAATCTTAAATAATTCTACATAATACGAAATACAATAGCATTAAGCTGCTATTTTACGCGGGTATTCTGAGTGAGCGTGGTCCTTCCCCGGTCGGGCCAACCCATTCCTGCTATTACTATAATATAGCTACAGCGTGGCTCTATCACATAGTTACTATTCTTCTTCAACAGCCCATAAAATTCCACCTTCATCGTCATACTTGGAAAGGGCTTCGCGATCTCGGTACCAAACATTCCTTACCAGGACATCAATCACCTTTGACGCAGCTGTCGGTCACCGGATTAGGTTATTTAAGTCTGGAGTAAAGGAAATGGCATACTGCCATCTATCGATAGCAATAAGATTTTGAATAATTCACCCTTGCAATCTTTCCTAAGCGTCGCTTTTTACGCTTCTATCACTCAGCAGGTAATTCTGTGATCGCAAGGCGTATAAAAAAACTATTGCAAATATAAAATTCTTTTTGTACTGGTTGGCAGAGTAAATTAGTTTAAAATAAAAGTTATAGTCTATATTCGTCCCACTGCTGGGTACACAGCCCTCTCATTTTTGAGAGGGTTTTAAGGCAGGGGAATGTCTGCCGCGTTGTCATGTCTTCGAAATATCTTTCCTTATTACTTAGACATGCAGGTTTTC